GGGTGGCGCCGTCGACAGGAGTGGCAGGCTCAGCGGGGGTGGTAGGCTCAGCGGGGGTGGCAGGGGCGGCGCCCTTTTTGCCGCCCTTGAGCTTGTCCTTGAGCTGGTTGAACTTGTTCTTGATGGTTTTGGGGATCTTCTTGATGGTCTTGGGGATCTTCTTCAGTTCGTCCAAGAGCCCGCGGGTCTCGAGCTCGCTCCTCAGGGTGAGGGCCTCGACCGCGGCGTCATCCCTGGCGGCCAGCTGGGAAACCTTGGCCGGGACAGTGGAGTGCCTGGGCTTCACCATAGGAACAGGATAATTGACAGCCCTCGGGAGGACAACCCGAGCGACGGGCACATCGGGGAGCGACCGGGTGCTGAGGCCGAAAACGGCGTCCGTCTTCGGGGCGGGCAGGGCGACCGCGCCGGAGAGGATAAGGGGGAGAAAGACGAGGATGTTCTTGACAAACATGTTGAAGGTGTGGTTGGGTTGAGGCGTAGAAATTCGTTCGTGACTGATGAAAGAGAATCTGATAAGAGAAAATCAGGAATACCTATGAAAAAGACGGTAGGAAAAAGAGACCAAAGGAGATGGACTGAAGGAAAGGTAGAAAGAGGAAAAGAAAGGAGAATGTGGTGGTGGTGAGAAGGGAGGGAAAAAAAGTGAAAGATTGTCGAGGTGATCTCGACCGTTATATACACCACTTCCACAGCAGCGGCAGAAGCGAGCAGAGGCGCTCTGCAATGTCATGATGCACCGCCCATTTCGACGTCCATGCGGTATCCCCCGTCCGAAGCCATGATCTCTGATCTCCAGGGGATCTGTCACGCAACCATCGTCCAACTCCACCAGATCCAGCCCAGCCCTCAATGCTGCCCCTGGGTGACCCCCTAGGGCTCCCCGGTCTGCGCCGTCACGGAATCGCCTTCAAGTTCCTATTTCGGGGCCACGATGCCCAGTTTTTGTTTCTAGAAACATAATAACGGCTCGCCGTTGGCCACGGCGAACCATCTAGACCTTGGACGAGGCACAGAGCAAGGTTCCGTAGGGCGGATCTGCGCAGGGGTCCCAAGGCTTAGCGAGCCCGCCACCCAAGGCTATAGTCCCAAGGCGAGGCCACAAGTCATGTACCCCCTTCGGCTGGCCCGGCTTCCCACCAGGCCGGTTTGCCATTGGCGCACAGGCTGTGGGGGCCCGGCGAAAAAGGTCCGTAGGGGCCCGGCGATTTCACGCAACCTGGGATCTCGAACCGGATCAGGGGCAAGGACGGTGTTAGGCGACGTCCGTTCCTGACTGGGTCGAACTGCCGCCGTTGCGGATGCGCTTGTCATTTATGCGCGCGTCTAGGTATATGTGCAGCCGCCACAGATGCAAGCTGTACACGCCTTTGAGGCGGTTTCCTCTGACTAGTTAGTGTGTTTGTAGAGGGTTCTCTTGTCTCTTTTTTTTTTCGTTCTGCGAATGGTGACAGTGTCGTGAACATGGGCTGGACAGTATGGCAGTATGGCGCATAATCAAGCGGTGGGCAGGGCTTCGCGAGCACATGAACTGGCAAGTGGCTCAGACCAAAGACGTGCGTTCGCATGAATCACCCCAAGTGCCAGCGTCTAAACAACCTTCGATGTCATTGGGCGATCGTCAGGGGCATGGGACGGTTCCGATGTGGGCACCGGGATCACTCGTCCAGCCCAAGACAAATGCGTGAATTCGGGGCTAGATTGACTTACCGAATGCAAGTAGATACCTGATTACTCGTTCTTGGCTTCGTGGTGGCCTGATAAACGCTCGTGATGTGCGTAGCGGCAGGGGATTACCTCTACCACCCCTAAAAAAACATACTCCAGTAAACCACACGATGATCGTCTAGCGTTTCAAGCGATTGCGCAAAGCAACTTGCTTCTTCCTATAGCTTTAATCTCGCCCTCCTAGCCGGCCGCCAGTAGCATGTGTCCATATTGGGACATGAGTTTAAGTAATAAGGGTAGCTGGAGGGTATCGACGTCTGGTAGTGATGAAATACTCTGGGCATTCTGACTACCACCACCTTCACTAACGCCTTCCAGAACATACTTGGCGACTCTCGCTCTCCCCTCGTCTACACGAACAGCAGTCTCGTTTTGCAATAGTAGCATATCGGGGGAATCCCAAAATTGGTTATTTGATAGGGACTTTACCGTCGAGTAAAACCCAATGCTCTACCGGTCGCCGGGAATAGAGCGCAACCACGATGCACCGCCCGTTTCCCAATATTGAACGACGATCCCGTCGATCCAGGCTGGCTGGCTGTCAAAAGAGGCAGGATGGCAGGCCAAAAAAAATCCAGGCCAGCGGTGTTGCAGGGCGCGTCGCGTGCCGATCGCTTGCGCCCGCTGCCAACTTTTCCAAACTCACGAGCAAATCTTCAGGAAGCACCGGTGCGAGCAAGGAAACTGCCATATCAAAAGAGAGAAGAAAGAAAAGTCCCGACCCTGTGCATCGTGCATGCGCTGCTGCCCGTGGGGGGAGAGGCCTCCGGGCACGCTCTGACCGTGGGAAATTTCGAGAAAATGAGGGAGAATGCCAAGACCAGCCTTGCACCTTGCAATTTACAATCCCCAGCCTCGGCGCGTAGAAGGGACATTACCATGGCCCTGGCACTGGCCATCATACCTACCTGATGGGTTCGGCTCCGCACGTCCTCTCGAACGTAGCAGACATCACGAGAAGACAGTACCCTTTTTTTTTTTTTTTTGAGTCCTCGGTTCCTTGGGATGCGACTCCACGGGTCCGCAACGTCGGGCTCGAGAGCTGTCAATCTTGAGACGGCTGGCCAGTGCGGCGGTTGCCCCCAGCTCCATCTCGCCTACGTGTGGTGGTCAAACAAGCTTCAAATTAGCCGAGGCGCCACAACCAAACGGGCCCTGTTTCTCGGCAGGCAGAGCGAATGGCCCTTTCAAGTTCCTGGGGGCCCTCCCGCGCTCGGACAGTCCAGGGAAATTGAGCGACGGGCAGTAATGTCATGACGAATGGGAGCAGGACAAACATGTGGAAAACGGCCTAGAAGCCGACTATCGTATTCCTCAGACTATCTGCGGCTGTGAAAACCGTAGGTGCTAGCTTTTGTGTACGCACACCCCCAATCCAGTCTATACAGGGTTCGCTGCTGTGATTTTCAAACAGTTGCGCCAAACCCGTGAACCCATGAATATCCAAATCCATATGTAGGCGGCCAACACCATCGCCATCTATGCCGATATGGCGAGGCAAGGAACGGGGAATGAGCGATAACAAGTAGAGGCGGTAGAGATGAGGGAGGAAACGAGCGTAAGAAAAAGAGTATAAAATGATAATGAAATTCGTTGCTTCGTAAATGATGTGCTTCCCTACCAGGAAAATTCCCGTGACTGACTCCTCGCTGGACAAAATGAAGGTTCCGCCTGTTGTGTGCGATGTGTGTGCCGTCAAAAATGAAGCGAGAGGTCACGCTTGCCATTGCAAACAGGCAAGGTAAAAACAAAGCCAATATGTGCTCTTCTGCAAGAAGAGGCACACTTTCCTGGAACTCCTGGCCAATGCAACCAAAAAAAAAAAAAAAAAAGAAGCCAATGAAAGAAAAGAGCGGAGAAATTATATCGTATGCGTGGTATCGGCGCGGCTTGATCGTATGCGTTCGCGTCGAATCCGTCTGGGCTTTTCCGGTGATGAGGCTAGTCGCAGCGTGTTCTCTGGCGACTGGGAAGTCTCGTGATCCGCGTCCGAGATCCAGTGAGGCGAGTCGGGGCGGAAGAAGTGGGAGAATCGAGAAGATGGAGCGCCGTCGCGGGCAATAACGGCAGCCATGGCATGCGTCCCCTAGTCGCGATGCAGCCTCAGCTTCCTGAAGAATCCTCGGCTGCGGCTCGTCGAGGTGCTCGAGGGCGATCCCGGGGGGATCATGGAACCGTGCTTGGGGTCGTGTGCGGAGCTCGAGCTCCGGCGCCTGTCCAGGCTGTCCTTGGACGAGTGCCCGCCGGGCTGTATTCCGTACGACACCTGTCTCGAGGGCATAACCGGGGTCGATATGAGGTTGCAGGACTCTCCGTCGCTGTCGAGGATGGCGCTGTCGCTGTACATGACCGAGGCGTTATGTTGCTGCCGGATCATTGATTGTTGTTGCTGTGGTGTGAGCATGCCGTGCGAGATGGTCCGCTTGCTGTACTTGCTGCCGAGGAACGATTTCCGCTCCCTGTTCAAGGCCCGCGAAACGGAAATATCGTCGGCCGTGATACAGGCATCGGGGCCGACCTTGGCGTCTGGGTGTCGGAGCGTTGTGTTCCCGTCTGGTGATGTCCATATTAGCATGATTGTAGGCAACGAGGGGAAGCGTCTGTTGAAAAAGTGGGATACTTACTACCACAGAAGGATTCAGGGAACCCGGTGTCCCACTCACGACGAGTAGACACCGTGCTCGGGCTTTCTGGAATGGAAGACATTGTCTCGCAGCTGGACCAGCTTTCGAGGGTTGGCCTTCGTGATCGTGATGATCTGTCGGAGCGCATTAGTCGGAGATACATGTTGGTTGGTGTGCAGGTGGCGGCGAGTATTATATATTAAAAGTATAATGTGTTGTGACGTGAGTCCACGTGAAAGTGAATGGACTGGAGATGGTGTCGAAGCTTGATGATCGGCCACGCACCGTGCCCCCAGCCCGGTTTATGAGGACCGTCGGTCGTGGTGATGTGCAACAAGGGGGCCTTGTCCGGAAAAGGAGTGGACAATGGCAAGGTTGGAGACAAAAGGAGTGGACAAGAAACGCGAGCACAATGGGTTGAAAGGAGAGGAGGAATGGTGAGTGAATTAACAACGGGCAGGGGCTAGAAGAGAAGAAACAAAGCAAGATAAAGGAAATCAAGGACGCCGCGGTCTTGTGCGCGTTGTCATTGAGCATGGGTTGCCGGTCACCCAACTAGGGATAGTGACGGGAGGGCTTGGGGCTGATTAGGCAAAGCTACCAGACGATTCACCAGGAAGGCCTAGGTTGCTTGATGCCTGCGACAAGGAAAGCGTGATACACGAGAAGAAGCAGACTTCCCGAGCAGCACCGACGAGACTGGTCCCAACTCGAGACCAGGCTGCTCCGATATATAATACAATACCGACATGGCCGACCGAGCAGGGAGGAAGTCGGCCGGACGGCCGGTCACACACCCATGTTGCAGCCCTGCGCATGCCGCCCACAGCGCGCCAGCTGCCTTGCATTCGGGCGCTCTGATTGGCAGGCGGCGCCTCTGGAATAGCAGTAGGCCGCGCAGTCCTTTGTGCCTTTGTGCCGTTGTCCCGGCCCAGCACATCAGCGCGGCTAGAACCTTGTCGCGGCCGGGATGGGTCTGGCGGTTTGGTTTGCTGAGAGGCTCCCGCGAGGCGGCCAAGCCTGGGGACCCTGTTGCAAGGCTGGCGGGTATCGATCGAGCCAGGCCGGCCCGTGGGGTTGGATGGAAAAGTAACGACTGCCGCTTGGGAGTCGGCCGCGGGAGCCGACTTGGCACACCACGCAAGCACTCGGGCCCACTCTCCGCTTTTTACTTTCATTCATGTGGGGATATTGGGCTCTTGGGACGACAGGTGGCCATTGGCGTTGGGGGTGACTTGGTGTGGCGATGGTGGTGGTGGTGGTAGTGCATTGGACAGCGTGATTTTAGGGGGGGCAAAGCCCAAATGGGGCAATAAAGTGGTGCGGGTGCAGAGCAAAAGCTGGCAGGTGCATGTGCTTACCTAAACACGCAGCTGGGTCAAAAGCGCTAGAGCTGACGTATCCGCACCGCAGGGGAAGGCCCCTGTGGGAGAGCGTGGGGAGGCAAAATGGTGGGCTGTCCGAGGGCCGCCGAGAGCGCTGGACTGGCGACTGGATTTATTTTTCGTTTCGTTTCGTTTCGTTTCGTTTCGTTTCGTTTCGTTTCGGCCTCGAGTCTGGAAATGGCCAACAGACGCGCGGCAGATTCGGAGGTGCTGCTCAATTCGATTGAAGTTGTTGACGAGAAGTCGAGCTCAGACCGGCAAGGGCGAGGCAATCAAGCCGAGATGGTCATTCGGAGGGGATTCGCTTGGTTCGGAGGGCGACCGCTTTGATGCAGTCGAGGGTATTTGTACCGTCGTTCGTTTCGCTCCTCCAGGAGTTCGTAGTAAGGCCACGGTTGAGGCTCACTGGCTGCGGGGGTCTTATTCCTGCGTGTGAACCCGGGCTGCCTGGTCTGCACGATGGAATTCTTCCTGCTTCTAGGCCAGGCTCCCTTGCGTTTTCTGGCTGCAGCGCGACGGCGAAGTGCGAGCAGATACTGTGCCCTTTGTATGAAGGACTCGGACACCGAAGATCGAAAGGAGGGCAAGAGCGGGATAAGGGAGCAAGATCCGGAAGGGCTCGAGAAGCACGGCAACGTGGATGACGACGCAAAGAGCGGGCACCAGGGTCTTCTTATAAGACGCAACGAGTGAAGACAGGCTCCCCTGGACGGGTCCTGTCCGGGGGCCAGGTGACGCCAGGTCCAGGTGCCAAAAACACTCATCAAGACACACGCACCACCAACCAGTCCAGCACCACCTGTCTGCCAGCCACCCACGCAACACGCAGGAGGGGCACGCAAGGGACCAAGGCCATGAATCAATCAAATCAGCGCAGCGCGCAGCGGAAGGGCGATCGACTGCATCTGCCCTTCTCGGGACGTGCTCGTGGCTTCCGCCGGCGAGGAGAAGTGGCGGGCGGGTGTGGGCTGGAGCTTTGCAGATGAGCCAGCACCGCGCCAGCCAATGGGGGCCCCGGTTGAGGCTTGTTTGTGCAGGATTACGAATGCACACTTGGCTTGGCAGACAACCTCTCGACAGTTTTTGTTGAATCCAGAGAGTCAGTTTTCGGCGTGCTTTGTTGACGGGGAACCCTCCCCCAGGGCACGGGTAATACACAAGAGACGACAGCTGGCAAGTCGGCACGCAGGAGACGACGCCAGCAAGCAATCCATGAATCCATGATGCACGCAGCAGGCTAGCGGAACCCGCATTGGGCCGGCGCCGTCGTCTTTCCCACTTGCTCTTGCTGCTGGAAAGGACCGCACGCAGCGCCCAGAGCCTCGGCGTGCGTTTGCTCGATTGCCGTGCCAGAAACCCCCTCCTGGTCTCAGCCAGTCTTTGACGGCCAGTCTTGGGGCCAGGTTGGTTCTATTTTGAAATTGACTTCGCCCGGCAAACAGGTCAACAACCACAGCTTTGCCGCTGCACCCAGCACCACCACAGACAGGGAGCCAGGCCGGGAGTGCGGCTATCGAGTGGGCCTCCCGCCCATAATCCATTGTTCCATGCTGTTTAAAATAAGAAAATAAGACAAAACCACAGCCCTGCAAAACGCGGGCTGTGGCAAAAACCGCACACTTTTGCTGTGGCCTGCGCGGCCCACGACAAAAGTCTCGTTTCGGTTCGACGTTTGGCGAAGTGACCCGACGTCTCCTTCATCATTCTGGCTCCCGCCTCATGTGCCGGGACTTTTGCAGCAGTCGAGCTAGCCCAAGTTCCTGCCTCGTGCAGATGGATTTTCGTTGCAGCTGTGGCGATTCCATGATGGGAAAGTCATGGACGGGTCGGGTCAGCCAATCGAGGCAAGCAAGATGCATCACCGCATGCCGCGACCCAGGATTGGTGGCAAAGTGCCACTAGAGCCCGGCCCTCCTCTTGCAAGACCACTTAGACCACACTCTATTACGCGCCGGACGTGTTCTAAAATCCAGAGTATCGCCGAGCCGCCAGCAGATGGCGCCGTCGTGGCTTTTGCGGTGTATTTGCGGCACAAGCGGTTTGCCGTCATTGCTACAAGGGTGCATAAAGAGATGGCGGTGAAGTGGGCGAGTCGACTCATCCGGGCGCATGAGCCACAGACTTCATTTCTCCAAGCACTTGCATTGCCACAGATCTAGACGGCACGGCTCTTTCGGGACCCTTGACCGGGTTCCCGCGGGCTTCGTTGGATGGAATGTCTCTTCGGGAAGGGGGGAAGGGGTCCACCGATTTATTTCGCACCTTCTCGATCTGGCTTTTTTGACGGTATCGCCGAGCTACGACCTCGCTTTGGTCAAAGACACCCCGCCTCTCATTAAATCAGTTCGGAAGGTCCCAGGCTGCGTCTTTTCATTGATTGTTTTCTTTTTCCCCTTCTCTGTCACCCGCCCAAACTTTGCCAATGCCCGAGATTATGCAGTGTCGACGTGTCGTCTTGACTCATCACCAGGACATGCCCGAGACATGCCGAAGGGGGGGAAGAGAGCGACGAGAGGATACACCAAGCTTGGAACAACGTGCTCTGTTAACTCCCCGTCGTCGGGCTCCGACCCATCTCCGTCGCGGGGAGGGAGGGATGCCATGATCGGCAGATTGGGTAGATCTCCTAGAGATCAGCACAAGCTTGGACAAAAAGGGGTCGGAACCAGCCGTCCTTCCCAATCGGGCTTGAGGCAGCGTGTGAGCGTGTCGTGCCTTGGCCTCTTGGACGCTCTCTCTGTAACCACGAGATCCACCAGCCACTTGAGTACACGACAGGGTTTGTTGGAGACACGCTGCATGATCGTCATAAAATTCCTTCCGCGATTCAAAATCAAAAAGTCCCAAGCAAATGCCTCACATCCAAATTTAAGAAACCGGGACCATAGAGAGGAGGGGGGAAAATGGGTAGTTGCGAAAAGATAGAAATACGATCCGTTGAGTATCAAAAGGGGCTGTTCGCGGACCTTGTCATTCAACCCCATGTTGCCGGAGAACAAATCTGATAATTACGACCGCCCAGACCTTCCATTGTTCACAGCATGAAAATACGCGTTCCTGCACGGCAGAACAAAACAAACATTGAAAACTAGACAAGAAAAGACATGCATATCGAATCAGTCATCGCCGCGTATCTACGTCTCGCTTCTAACCGATTCCCCCGAGAAAGCCTACCCTCCTATTTGTCCGGTCCCCATGATTTGATAGGTTACAGGCGAATTACAAGACCCTCCCGTGTGTTTTTACTCCTTTCCCCAAGACCCCTTCTCCGACCCATCCATTACATGTCATCGTGAAACTTGGGGCGCGTACGCTCTAAAGTCAAGACGTGGCCAAAACAACAAACATGGAATATGCCTTGTCACCGTCACTAGTCGTCCATAGGCCTATCCACCAGTTGAACACCGTGTTGGGCATGGCCGCCCTCGGTCGCAACCTCAGGGACGTTGGCCGGCTGCATCGACAGCGACACGCGCTTCCCGCCCACGAACCTCGCCCCGCTGCGGCCCAGGCTGTTGCGCTTCCCAACCGCCGAGTCCGAGACGATCGAGTTGATTTTGGGCGATTCTGTCAGGGAGCCGTTGGTGACGCTGTTCCCGTTGCTCTCGGGCGACTGCGGTGATTGCTGATGGTCGTCTTGCGCCGACGCCAGGGTCAGCGGACCTCCAAACTGCGAATCGCTGTTGCCGCCCGGCACCTCAAGGCTGGACCTCTTGACGCCAAGAGTGCCTCCCATGCTCGCCCGGTGCTGCTGCGTCGGGCTCGACAGGCCTGTCGAAATCGGGAACCTCGTCTCGGGGCCGCCGCTGCTTTTGTCCCTGCGGTGGCCATGCGGCGCGGGAGACCTCGCCCGGTCCCGTGGTCCAGGCGCCGGCGATGTGGCCCTGCTACGGCTGCCGCCCGCCGCCACCGATTTCTCGACGATGAGCCTGTTGCGCTCCTCTATGAGCGCCCGCCTGTTGCTCTCGTCGGTGCTGATGGCCCGGCCACGACTCGTAGACGCAGCTGCCGCGGCGCTGTTGCCCCCACTCACCGATGTCGAGTGTGACAGGGTCGACATGCGCTTGAGCTCGTTGAATATGGCCTCCTTGTGTGTGAACAGATCCCGAACCAGGCGGTAAGCGTGCTTCTCCTCCATGGTGAGCGATGTTTCAGTGCGAGGCCGCAGGATGGTTGGCGCCAGCGTTGTTGCAAGTGCCGCCACGTACGTCTCGTCTGCCGACGTGAGATCAATAAGCCTAGTAAAGTGGTTCATGCAGGCGTCGAGCGTCGCGATATTCGTGAGCCGCAGCTGCGACAGCGTCTGTTGCAGCACCGGCACGCGTGTGGCCTCGGTGTCACCAGTAGAGGTCTGGTAAAGAGTTCGGATAATCTCGTACACGTGTGAAGAAACGAGCGAGTCTGGGCGCGTCACCAAGTTAGCTGCTTGCCCCGTCGCAATCATTGTGGTTGGCATTCTTACCAGGAAGTTCAAGCAGATACAGTTTGAGCAGGCTGGCGACAGTGGGTATATCAAATTCAGCAAAAACATCGGGCGAGAAGCCCCGGCCGTTGTTGACCTTGCGCCTCAGACTGTGGGTCTGAGCCAGGGGCACATCGACCAGCCAGACCCCGCGCCTGGCCTCATCGCCCTCGAGGTCTGGGTAGTGGTGGTCCAGGTAGGTCAGAATGGTGGTGACGATGATGGGCACTCGCTTCTTGTCCGCCCTCGCGCGCGCCTCGAGGTCCACGCCGAACGTCTGTTCGTCGACGCGGTTGTAGTAGTTCTCGTACGTCACCACCTTGGGGATGAAGCTTCCCGTGCGGTAGTTCTCCAGCAGGTACCTCAGGTCGCCCTGCGGCTGGACCGTCTCCTGGTACAGCATCATGTGGTCGACTGCGGACTGCAGGCTGGGGATGACATTGCTAATGGTGCCCGAGAAGTCCAGCACGACCGTCTTGATGGCCTTGAGCCGGTCAAGCTCGCAGCGCTCGAGGAACCGGAGGTGTACGAATATCTGCTCCTCGAGGTCGCACCGGAGCTCGTCCAGCTTCACCACAGCAGCCTTGTATTTCTCGTCGGCCTCTCTTCCTTCACGGTGCAGGCGGTCGGTGGGGGTCTCGTTGGGGTGGGACGAGTTGACGATGTTCCACTTCTCCAGGTACTCGCTGACGGTGCCAACGACGGGCGACTCGGAGCCCTCGGAGCCGGTGGTCTGCATGGACAGGGTCCTGCTGACCGTCATCTTCTTCTCAGGCACGCCTGCCAGCTTGAAGGCGGCGGGGGTCCACTGGTAGAAGAGCTTGGAGCTGTTGGCGAAAGTGTTGCCGACATTGCCAACCAGGCGTAGGAACTTGTTAGTCACCAGATCCTGGCCGATGCGCTCAGCGTAGGCCACCGTCGTTGAATCCATGTGCCGCTGCAGATACTCGACAATGTCGGCGCCGGCTGATGTGTTGGTGTAGGTACCCAGGATGGGAACCTTGGTCTCGCCCATCTTGATGTTCTCCAGCATGTGACGCAGGATCTTCTTCATGGTTTCGAGCTGGTACGTGTCGTCGCCGATTTCGAATATTTGATCCTCCTCCACGGCCTCCTCCTTTTCGACCTTGATCTCGGGCACCTTGCCCTTGGGGCTGTTTTCGGGGTCCTGGAACGCCAGTTTATCCTCCTCTTCGAGATCCTCGACCAGGCGGCACTTGTTGAAGTAGTTGCTCCTCAGTTTTTTGACCAGCTCGGCTTGTTTGTCATGCGCCTTGATGCGGGACTGCAGCTCATCCTGCGAGTCCTGCACGCGCTGTTCGTGGGCGTCGCACCATCGGGAGAAGGGGTTCACGACGAGGTCGCGGATGTTCTGGGCGATTTTCTTGTGGTTTTTGGCGCCCTCCTCCATCTCGGTTCGCACGCCTTCGTATGCCTAGGGGTCCAGAACGGTCTGTGGTCAGCGTCATATTCGCAAAGATGCGCTGCCCCCTCGCTGGCATGGCAGCGGGAGCCGTACAAAACGGGCGGGGTGGAATGGTTCTGTCATACTTTTCGGACGGTAGCTCCATCGTCCCGGGAAAAGCCACCCTGAACCTTGTCTACCGTTGGGGCGATGTCTGCTAGGCGTTGGCCATATACCTCCTCCGCCTCGGCTCTTAGGCGAGCTATTGTGAGGACCTGTCGGTTTTCTATCACGCCTTGCTGGAGCTTGCCGAACAGGACACCGAGGCCTTGGGTTCGAACGGGGGTTAGTTTGACTGATCGCTTCTCACACGGGATAGCGCTTGGAAGGGCGTCGTCGAGCAGCGACAGCCACCGAAAACATACCTGCGGCATAGTCGTTTGACCAGAAGGAATCGCTGAACCCCGGCATGGCTGCGGGAGGGGACGGAATGCGCGCCACCAAAGGGCTCAAGAAGGAGCGGGATCAGGGATGCCGGCGAGGCAGGGCACGGCGGGGTGCAAGTGGACGGCAATCGTGGACTTGAGGCGTCTCGCTCTCGCTCTAACAGGGTGTCGGGTTGGGTTGTTCGAAGTAGGTCGCCAAACACAGGATAAGATGATGTTGCCAAGTACAAGAACAAGAACAGGGCTCGCTCGATGCGGTCAGGCCGTCGACTGTCGGCTGGCTGGTCCCTTTGGTCGGGTTTGGCGTAAATTACTTGTGACGTCGTTTGTCGGCCGGATTCGTCGTCAAGAAAAAGGGCGCAAAGCCAATGAGGCTAGCTCGCTCGCACGCTGCAGAATCCAGCAGAGGATGAGTGGGAACGCGGGGTGCAACGGCAGTGGATTGTGGGAGAGTCGAGGCTTTTTGTCTTGGGGCTTGTCGCTGGGCAGATGTCACGATGCCGTGGTGGAAATTATGATTAAAGCGTGGGGTTGCTGTCGGCCACTTCCGAGCAGCCTTCACTGGAAGAAAGGGTTACAGGTAGATTTTGTCCCAGGAAAAGGGGGAGGAGGTGAATGAAGTGCTGCTGATCACTGCCGCTGGGTTCGTAGCCCGTCATCTGCACCCACCAGTGCCACCGTCTCCCACTGGTTCTCAGTTGGCTTCGACTTTGCCAGATGCCGCATCCCATTGGTTGGCAGTGGGGGGTCGACGCGCTGAGCCGGTCCCGCTAGGCTGGTCGTGACGCCAACCTTTGGCCGACAAACCCCCTGACACTTGCGTATACGGGCCCACGGGGAAGCCGTCTACAGGGCAGATTCCACAATTCCCAGCAAAAAAAAACAGGGCTGGCCTGGGGGCAGGGGTTCACCGCTGGTGGCCACCAACACGTTTCAAGATGTCCCCTGTTTTTACATTGCATCTTTTGTGTGTGGCTTTCTTGCTCGTGTTCCAGGCCTCTGTGCCTCCGTCGCATGCAACCGCAGCCGCAACCGCGAGCCAGACGGCACTTGATCGCGCCCAACGACGATCAGCAGCAGCGGCTTGTCGATCCAAGCACCCCACGATGCTAGACCGGGCTGGGGTGGCCAAGGGCATTCGTCGCAGGAGGAAAGCGGCCCTCGCCGCATAAAGCCATTTTGATAAATGGTCTAATAATATCCCGCCTGTCGATGCTCCGCCATGACGGAGCGAGGTCCACCCCTTTTCGTGAAATTCGATGTGCAAAGCTCCTAGCCCGCCTGCCCGCCTCAGCTGGAGCCCTCAGGTCGCTGTGGCTGCCGCTGCCGCTGCTGCTTCCGCTGCCACGCGTGCATTCTTGGGGCCTCCTGCTGTGGGTCCGACGGCTGAGGTGGCAACGCTATTGGCCAAAGCTTCCCTGTCATTACGTGCCTTACTACGCAATGGTATCAGACAGCAGGCACGCCTCGGCCTCGATCAAACACGGTGAACCAGAGAATCAGACAGAGGCGACCTGAGCCGGGACATCCGGAATAGATGCCCTCAATCGCTGCGACCTTTTCTTTGCCCGTCGCTTAGCAGTGCTCTGCTAGACAGAATAGCACGTCCATCTCGTCCATCAACCACGGTGGTCGACGCCCATCCATCTTATCCCTTCCCCAGCCTGCCTCGCCGCCACCATGTTGTCAAAAAAGAGCGACGATAAGCACTTGCCCCTCCCTGCCACGGAGTCGCGTATCCCAGAGGAGAGCCATGGTCGGAGGCATCGCAAAAGGGTGCTGGCACTCTTCCTGGGACTTATGCTCGTGTCGTACATGCTCCTCACTCCTGCTGCATATCCTGCCATCGGTCGCGGCCGCCACTCGTCGCAGCGCCTGTCTCACAAGACCATCGACGAGCGCGTGAACGAGATCTTGAGGAAGACGCCGCTGATAGACGGTCACAACGACTTTGCCATATACATACGGTACAAGTATGAGAACCATATAAATGACAAGGGCTTCAGGGAGGGCTTTGAGTCCTCGGGTTTGCCCCTGCATGTGGACCGGCCCAGGCTCCGCGCCGGCAAGAATGGTGGTGCCTTCTGGAGCGTCTTTGTTCCATGCCCTGATAACGGGACCGACTTTTCGGACCAGAACTACGCGACAAGTAAGATATCCCCGAATGTCACGTGCTTGCCTTCTGATGCGACGCGTATGCTAACTCTGATCTCACATAGGCGTCCAGGCTACTCTGCAGCAGATAGATGTCGTCACCCGTCTAACTGAGGCCTATCCGGGCGACTTCTCGTCCGTGTTGGTGAACAGCAGCGATGCGCTGGCAGCCTTCAAGCAAGGAAAACTCATCTCGCCCATGGGTATTGAGGGCTTGCACCAGATCGGCAACTCGGTCGCGAACTTGCGCCGTTTCCACTCCATGGGTGTCCGGTACGCGACCCTGACGCACAACTGCCACAACCGTTACGCCGACGCCGCCCTCCTCGAGTCGCCTCTGAGGGTCGCCGAGCCGCGGTGGAACGGCGTCAGCCCCGAAGGCCGGCGCGTCGTCGCCGAGATGAACCGCCTGGGCCTCATTGTTGATCTCTCGCACGTCAGCGAGGCAACCATGGTGGACGTGCTGGGCGGGGGCCAGGGCGGCTGGGAGGGGTCGCGGGCGCCCGTCATCTTCAGTCACAGCAGCGCGCACGCGCTGTGCCCACACCCGCGCAACGTCAAGGACTCAGTCCTGCGTCTCGTCAAGCGCCGCGACTCGCTCGTCATGGTCAACTTCTCGCCCGACTTTGTCTCGTGCACGGCAGCCAAGGATGGTAGCGGCAACAACGGGCTGCCAGACTTTTACCCGGCTAACTCGACGCTGGCGCACGTGGCCGACCACATCATGCACATCGGCGACTTGATCGGGTTCGACCACGTCGGGCTCGGTAGCGACTTTGACGGCATCCAGACGACGCCCCGCGGACTCGAGGACGTGTCAAAGTTCCCGGATCTCGTCTCGGAACTGCTCCGTCGCGGCGTCAGCGACGAGGACGCCGCAAAGGTCGTCGGCGGGAACCTGCTCCGCGTCTGGCGCGAGGTCGACGCCGCCGCCCAGCGCTTGCAGGCCGAGGGGGAGCTGCCACTCGAGGACGATTTGTCGCCCGCTTTGGGGTCGTCGGGTGCTGCAGCCAAATTTGTGGACGTCTAGGACGCGTATTGCGTCGAAGTGTGTTTTTGGATATTTGCAAATAGGCAACATTCGTTTACGATAGATTTCCAGGCAGAAATTGCCGCTTCTTGTTCCAGTAGATGCCCGTCTCTTGCGGTTCAAGCCTAAATCTAGTAAACGTATCCGGTGCTGTGAGTATACTCCCGTCTCAACGCCCGACCGCAACATTGCGCGGCTCGTCAGCTCCAACGACCCGTCCACCAGACAGAAAATCGTACAGCCAACCAGCTCAACGCGTGTTCCTTGCTTCTCGTGAACTTGGAGGCCCCCGTGTTCCCTCCTGAACCCGCCGCCGCATCATACCCGCCTTTCGACAAAGTTGAACTTGATGGCGTTCGCGTTCTGGTTCCTGGTGCGCTGGCCGCGGACGGGCAGGTTCATGGCGTGGCGGCGACCGCGGTAGGTGCCCATGTCCCTGAGGCGCTTGATGTTGTCGAGCACGAGCTTCTTGGCGTCCGTCTCGATGGTCATGGTGGAGAGCTCGGCCGTGAGGGCCGTGACGGTCTTTGGCGGCAGCGTGCCGACCTTGGCCATCGGGTGGATGCAGTACTTTGCCAGGATGCGCGCCGACTTTTGCGGTCCCAGGGCGTAGAAGGACTCGAGGGCTTTCTACGGGTCGGGGAAAGAGCTCGTGGTTAGGAAGGGGGCGTCGATCGGGGAGGTCGGGCTCGGGGAGGATGCTGCTGCTGCTGCTGCGGCTGCGGCTGGCTCACCTTGACGAGCTTCTGCTCGTTGAAGTTGACCCCCAGAATGAGCACCATCTTGTCTAGATCTCAGATGGCGTGGCCACACGTCGCTATCTTGTCATGGCTCGATTGCCGGTATGGACCTTGAGGAGAGGTTTTTGGTTGTGGTTTCCGGCTCGTGATGCGCGCACTCAATTCGACCGACTCGATTTCGTGCCACAAATCCATTGGTGGGGCAGAGGAGTGGTGGGGTGCGCGCCACGAGCGACGCACTGTGACGCACCTCTGCGGCCTGCGAGGACTGCCCTCCTAGACACTGAAAATTATTTCCGAGAGAAATTGAGAGGAGGAGAGAGTAATGTATGGTGAAATGAAAGAAATACATATAAATACATAAAGTACAACAACCACTAGACGCTGCTGCGCAGCTGGACTAGACAGCAGGATATAGTATGAAGCCTAGGAAACTGCTGCCCATATCAGACGACTTCTCCTCCGAGGACGAGTATGTCGACCAGCTCCTGCACTTCGTCGCCAACACCGAGATCTTCCAGATCCTCTGCGGCGGCGTGCACGTCCTGGATTTCTTCACCTCGGAGCCGGGCTTCTACTACGCCGCCATCCCGCAGGAATGGCAGGCCTTCCTCCTCCAGTGCGAGCCCATGGCCCTGCTCGACCTGCTTATGCGCGACGACCTCGACTCCCTGCCGACTGCGGACGGCGAGAGCGGTAGCAGCAGCAGCAGCAGCAGCAGCAGCCCCTACGGCGACATGGCCCCGCCCCAAAGCCTCGTCCAGTACATCCGGGACATACGGCAGCTCTCGCTGCGGCGGGACCTGCCGCCGGAGCGCGCGGCCGCGGTGTCGACGCTGCCCCGCAACATCGCCATCGGCATGAAGCCCAAGAAGGCGCACGAGGTGGCCAGCTTTGCCGACTACGTGGACCGGCTCGCGCGCGACCACTGCGGCGGCGGCGGCACAGACGACGAGAACGACGGGCAGGGCGTGACGCACCTGGTGGACTTTGGGTCCGGGCAAAACTACCTGGGCCGCACGCTGGCGTCGGAGCCGTACAACCGGGCCATGATCGCGGTCGAGGGCCGCGAGGAGAACATCAGCGGCGCGCGCGCGCTCGACATGCTCGCGGGCGTGGTGGAGAAGGAGAAGGTGATGCGCAACAAGAAGGCCTACATGCAGTGGCTCGACAGCAGAAGCGGCGGCGGCGGCGGCGGCATGAGCGACAAGTTCAAGCGCCGCCTCGCCCAGGGGCCCGTCGTGTCGCCCGAGGAGATGGCGAGGGCCGACTTGCGGTCGCGTCGCGAAATCGCGTCCGAGCACCCCGCCCCAGGCCAGGGCAGGGGCCGCATCCACTACGTGGCCGGCAGGCTGGAGGATGGGGACCTGTCCGAGGTACTGAGCAAGGTGCGGATCAGCATGAATGGTGGTGGTGGTGGTGGTGGTTGTTGTGGTGCCAAGTCGCGCGGCGGTGACGAGGCTGCCGACGGCGGCTGCGTTTGTGAGGAAAAGGGGCGACAGCAGCCAGGAGACGACGAGGCTTCGGAAGGGCAGATGCAGCAGTATGGCAAGCGAGAGACGGACCAGAAAGAGGACGAGCAGGCGGACCTGAGGCTGCTGGCCGTGTCGATACACTCGTGCGGCAACCTCTCGCACCACGGCATCCGGTCCATGCTGTTGAACCCGCCCATCAAGGCCGTCGCCATCGTCGGGTGCTGCTACAACCTGATGACGGAGCGCCTGGGCCCGCCGACGGTGAAGCCGCCGTTCGCGCGGCCGACCCTCGACAGCATCAACGGCCGGGTGCGGCGCGAGTCGGAGCGGCGCGACCCGCACGGCTTCCCCATGAGCCGGCGGCTGGCGACGTACGGCGGCGTCGACAGCGGCGACAACAACGGGGTGCGGCTCAACATCACGGCGCGCATGATGGCGTGCCAGGCGCCGCAGAACTGGACCGAGGAGGAGAGCCAGTCCTTCTTCTACCGCCACTTCTACCGCGCCGTCCTCCAGCGCATCCTGCTGGACCGCGGCGCCATCGACAAGGTCTACTACCACGAAGGGGAGGGCGACGGGCCCGCGTCGGGCGGCCGCGCCTGGCGCGAGACGGCCTTCAACGTCAGCACCAACCCCGTCATCATCGGGTCGCTGCGCAAGCGGTGCTACGAGTCGCTGAACGCCTACGTGCGCGGCGCCGTGGACAAGCTGACGACCGCTGCGACGGCGACGACGGCGACGACGACGACGACGGGAGCGACCACCAACAGAGAAGAAAACGACGGCGAGTACGCGGCGCGCGTCAGGGAAAAGGTGGCGGGCATCACGGACGACGAGATCGAGGGCTACGAGGCGCGGTTCGGGCACCGCAAGCGCGAGCTGAGCTCCGTGTGGAGCCTCATGGCCTTCAGCGCGTGCGTGGTCGAGTCGCTCATCGTCACGGACCGCTGGCTGTTCCTGCGCGAGCACGGCGACGTGGTGCGCGACTGCTGGGTCGAGCCCGTCTTTGACTACAGGCTCAGCCCGCGCAACCTGGTCGTCGTCGGCATCAAGAGGTAGCCAGCCCACTAACTGCCTTTGTCTATCTGCACAATCACGCAGCACAACGCAGGTCGACACGTGGGCGGGGGTAAGCTAGTACATGGATGTGGCATGGTTTAGACATGGACGGACGGCCGGCAGTTGGGTCGCTCGGCCGCTTGAATAGAGCGAGTGCTACCCTTCTGTATCCCGGAAAATGCAGCGTCTACCGAGAGAGAGAGAGAGGCCCCTGGCTATCGTGATGCCGGCTAGCGCAAAGGTGGCGTCAAAGCACAACACCACCCAACTACCGGCCAAGGCTGTGAGCGGCTAACCCGCCGCTTTCCGGGCATACGAGGCGGACGCGTCCAGTTCACGGATGGGGGCTTACTGGCGCGCGGCTGTCGTCGGCATGCTGTGAGAGAATGACAGATGGTGAAGGCGTGGAGCGGGCGACAGCAGAGCGCCGCGGGTGTGTGTGGTACCTGTATCGGTAGCTCTCAAGTCCCCCCCATCACTCGGGCCGGCGTAACGGTGGCTACGGTAGCACTGTACCCACCCGCCCGACAATCCGGCCTACCTCGGGGCAGCGTAGTCGGCATCGGGCGATGGATGGACGACCAGGACGCCCCCCCGCGTCTTCGTCAGCCTCTCGCCCGCATGTCATGTCACCTGCGTCATCACACGACTTGGCCACTATTTTCATCACCTTCTTTGCCTGCTGCGATATGATTTGCTCGTCATGCTCCTTCGCTCAGTGCCCACCCGGTAGCTGGAAATAGCGGCGCGCGCTAGGGAAAAAAGCAAGGTGTGGCGCTCTTCGTCATGTGATGTCTAGAGTGAGATGTGACAGAAGAGCCATCCAGCTCTGGGCACACACATGTGGTTGCGGGTTGGAGGGCGTGGAATCGAGATTCGTGGCAGAAGTTGTTCGCCTACAGCCCAGCCCATCGTGTTATTCCCGACGGAGGTTGTATCCGCCATGAAGGCAAGCCTGCCGGCAAGTACGTGTATAGATATGTATGCAGGCCGGCCGGCCGGCCGGTGGTGGACAGCGCGCGGGGCAAAAGTACTATGCGTCGCGCGCAACTTGCTGCCCTTGCGTGGATGAGGGGTACATGCGTCTCAAAAGGCACCAATAGAAGATGCTTTGGGGGTTGCGGGGAGGGAGGGATGCACGGGTTGCATGTGTAGAACAAAACTGCTCCCCCCCCCAAAAGGTGGTGGGAGTTTGGGGTGGGATGGGATATGGTGCGGCATCTGTCAGACATGCGTTGCGGCAACGGCAAGTCTGTGGGGTGAGGCTGGATTCTTTTTTTTTTCGTTTCTTGTTGTTCTGCGCTACTTACGCATCAGGCCGTGACATGTTCGGCAGGCGCCGGCCGAAAGGTCATCACACAGGTGGCAATCCGTCACATTCAGAGCATGTCCCGCGTCTGGACAGCCCTCCCACGGCGGGGTGTCGCCATTCGGAGCAAAAAGGTCAGCTGTCGTGTCCAAGGCCTAGTGTCGGGTTAGAGGGAAGTGGGGGAACGGGCTCGACACTATCAAAGTTACCTATCAACGACCAAGCAAGGGGCGGCAAGATAAGTGTGCATACGACATAGCCGCTGTGGATTTCCCGACTATCCTGGCCCACCGTTCTGGGAACCCCTTCCTGGGCTTGCACGTGGACCTTTTTTGCATGCGTCAAAAGAGATTGATGCCGCCATTCGCAGGGTTATAGCGTGCCAGAGCCGTACCCACTCAGTCGTCTTGGCTCCTTTTCTTACCCTCATTTCGGTCGAGACAGGTCTGGCCGTCGGGCGTCCATTTTAACTTTGCCATCTGAAGCAGGGCGCCCATTGGAGGAAACCACTCCTACTCTTTTTTTCTTCCCCCGTTGGAACTCCCTGGCACCACCCCGGCCTTTGCTGTGTGACGACGAGAAACGGACACCGGTTGAAGAGCTGCATGACACAGCAACACACCAGGCGGACGGGGTGGGAGGGCTTCCACGCCTTATCACATCTCTCGTCACTAAGCCGATGCGGCCAAGCGGAGGTCGAAAAAAGTATAACCCCCCACGTCCCACACGGCGAGAGAATGCTTGCCGTGATGGTGCATTTGCCTTGCCGCCGTGTAAAAATAAAGACGGTAGGCAGGTGCACTAGTAGGTACCAACCTGTGTACCCATGCATGGGAGAGAGAGGCTAGCTGGCGGCCCCAGACTCCAAGGAGTGGTGTGCGTCCACGGCCGAAAGGGTGTCGCCAGCGTCGAATCCCAGGCCGCCGCTGTCCCCTCTTTCGCCTAGCCCAATCGTAGTCGGCGACCCCCTTCTCTTCTCCAGCTTCGGTGCCGATGATGATGGATTTTGTTCTTCTTCTGGGGAAGCTAGTCCTCTCTGCCCTTGCTCTCCATTCCTTCGTGCGTCAGTCACCACTAGTGCCACGCTATTCTGCCAACCAACCTCCCCAATGCAAATCAGAATAATACGCCAGACCCTCAACTAGTTAGCTCGTGGGTTGGGTACCTGACCTGCGCTCTTGCGGCTACATATATCACTTGTCGACGTTGCTTTTTGTCTTCAACGACGGTCGAATCGCAATCCCTCGCTTGGCTGCCATCAAACCATACCATCCGCCCATCAACCAACTATAATTTTCCCCCTCGCCCAGCCAGCCGCGTCGTTCGTCTCGAAATTGCCTATTTAAAGTTCGAGACCTCGATCCCCACAAACCCCGCGATGGCATCATAACACGCGTAAAAACAAAGAACGCCGAGCGGGTTGGGAGGAGCGACGCAAAAAAAAAAACAACATCAAATAGAACAAAGCCGTCAAAGGGACACCTTCTTTCGGATGCAAGCACATGGTCGATAGGCCGCCTGCAGCTTTCTGAGACCCCCTCCAAATTCGAGTCCGTCCCGTCGCCATTTTTCCGGTTGCGGCGTCTCCCACGAGTCAAATCCCAAGGGCAAAACAGCCAGCGCCAACGCCATATCCCGGAAACCATTACGGACAGAAGGAGGAGGACGAGAAAAAAAAGGTTACGGCGGCCCAGCCCTTATCTGGATTTCCCCACATCCGGGTCTTGCTCTCTGACTGGGTCTCCCGGGTTTTTTGCTATTGATTTCGCTAGTGCAGGTGGCGGCACGAGACCTGGGCTCCCCCGTGCTTGGGAATCTACGGCTACCACATCACTCGGGGTCATTGTCTCCTCGGGTGCGGTTGGGGCACATACAGAGAACTTCTAGTTCGTCACCGTCGGGAGGAATCACCGCCACCATGAACGCCCAGGTTTCGTTCCTTGTAAGTTGCGGCCCTGTTGGGTCAGTCGACGCAGGAAATCCAAGACAAAGCCAACTGACAAGCCTCTCAAACCACCCCCCACAGGACGGCGAGCTCAGCCTCATCCACATCCCGCTGGACCTCTACTCGTCCCTGCTCCAGCCAATCCTGCAGGTCCTCCTGCCGCAGCGCGAGAGCCTCTGGCCGGGCAACCGCGCGCGGCTCCCCGACGACGCGGCCCCGGCGCCCGACGGGGTGCTGGGGCGGGACCACCGGCACGGGTTCCTCAACGTGAGCGTGACGCCCGTCGAGTGCTCCGTCGTGTGCCACGCGTCGTGGGTGGCGGCCGTGTTCGAGCCGGCCATCGGGCGGCTCCTCCCCCGCGAGGCGGCGCGCCGCGTGTCGGTGTCGCGCGACCGATACGTGGCGCTGTGCGTCATCAACGCCGGCATGGACGCCGGCTGCCGCGTCGTCGACCTGTCGTCGCCCCTGGCCCTGGCCGGCATCCCCATCTTCTTCATCACCACCTACTACAGCGACTTCATCCTGGTGCCGAGCAAGGACCGCCGCTCCGTCGTCGCCGCCCTGCTGGCGGGCGGCTTCGAGTTCAGCTCTGGGAGCGACTCGTCCTTTGTGTCGCCGCTGGCCGCGCGCGGCGGTGGCGGCGGAGGGGGGCTCCAGACGGCGCCGCACTCGCGCGCGGGAAGCAGCAGCAGTAGGAGCGGCAGCAGCGGCAGCAGCGGCGGCGTCGGCCACGGGCGGCCGTTCAAGCTGGAGCCCGGGTCGCCGGTGCCGCACGACGCGGAGGAGTTGCAGGCGCGCACATTTGACCTTCTGCGACGCCGCCGCGTCGAGCCCCGCGTCGACCCGGACCTGCACCTCATCCACTGCTCGGGCCACGAGACGTCGACGCGCCAGCTGGCGGGGGAGATCTCGGTCGGGCTGATGAACAGGCCGTCGCTGAACCGACTGAACACGGGCCCCAAAGGATCAGGGGGAGGCGGGCTTGGCGGGGGAGGGGACGGCGGTGGTGGAGGCGGCGGCGGCGGCGGCGGCGGTGCCAGGTTTGGCCAGAACGGCGGCGGCCATAATGGCCACGACTACCACCAGCACAGCCAGCAGCCGCAGCAGCAACAACAACAAACGCACACGTGGGCCGACGCGGTGGACACACGGCTGTACGCATGTCTCGTGGCGGCCCTGGCGTCGCGGCCGCGGTTCCTATCGGTGACGCTGGCGCAGGACGACCCGCCGTCGCTGCTGCTGGACAAGACGCTGCTGCCGCTCTTTGGCGACTCGGTCATGGGCTACACCGAGGGCGACCTGGTGCCCATCTTCCTGGACCTGGCGGCCCTGCCGTTCGAGGCCACGGGCATCGTGTCGGGCGTCGCCGGCCGCGTCGTGCGCGAGATGGTCGGCGAGGACGAGGCCGAGGCGGCGCGCCGCGAGCAGGCGCTCAACTCGCCGCTGCTGCCCGAGCTGTCGTACCTGTCGACGGCCCGGGCCGGCGCCGTGATCCTGCCGCGCGAGCAGTCCGAGAAGGCGCTCGAGATATTGAGGCCGCTGCTGGTGAAGAAGTAGGTGGTGGGTGTCTAGTAAGGGCGCGCGGGGGAAAATTGACTCTGAAATCATTCAATATCCAAGGCGTGGGAAAAGCAGCAAGTCAATGTCGGAAGAAGAGATGGGATATAGCCCATGGCGCTAGAAAATAGATGCCGTTGAGTGCGCCACAATCTTGGATATGTAAATGCCGAGAACAAGAATCAAAACAGGAGCCCAGGGGTTTGGAGACTTGACTGCGAGACTGCCCATTGTAGCATATAGGTAGGTAGCCAGCGTGTTTCAAGGCCCACCGAGCATCCCAAAGACGCCTGATTGCTGCCTCACGCCCTCACTTGTGCCCCTTTTTCTTGGCCGCGCCGGACTCGGGCACCAGCCCGGCCCTGACAAAGACGTCCCTGGCGGCCTGGTTGATGACGGCGAAGCGGCGGGGGCCCAGCTTCTTGCCGCCGTACCACCTCGACACGACCACCATGACGTCCCACAGGTCCATGAGCTGCATGAGGTGCAGCAGCCGGCCCCCCGCGGCCTGCTCGCCGTCGTCGTCGCAGTCCTGGAACGTCGTGCCGGTGCCGCCCGCGCCCCGGATCCGCCACGCCGTCATGTTGTGCGTCGCCGCCCGCGCCTGTCGGTCCGTCGCCAGCAGGTGCGCCACGAAGGACGCCGCCTGCGCCGGCGACGTGACGCGCGCGCACCGCGCGATGAAGGTCGACCGCATCTCCACGATCGGGTCCGACGTCACCCACGGCGGCGGCTCCAACAGTGCTGCTGCTGTTGGCGGTGGTGATGGCGGCGCTTCTGGCCCGCGCTGTGCTGGTGCGCGCCGTTCTTCCTCGTGGCCGCCGTCATTGTCGCCGTCCTCCTCCTCCTCCTCCTCGGCGGCGGCTGCTGCGGCGATGGCGGCATCCTCGTCCTCGCGCAGCCGGGCCAGCTCCTCGAGCGCGTCAAACAGGCAGACGGCGCCCGGCTGGTATGCGGCGCCCAGGGCCTGGCGGAACAGCGCGAGATGGCGGGCGGCGGCGCCCGGGGCCCGGCCGCCCGAGCTGTGGGTCCCCAGCACCGCGGGGGGCTCGTCCGGGTACGACGCGGGGAGGCGCAGGCGCAGGGACGGCCTGTCTTCTGCTGCCGGCGCTGTGGATGAGGAGGGTAGGTCGCCGTCGCCGTTGCTGTTGCCACCGGGGAGTTGGAGGATGTAGATGTCCGGGTCGCCCGAGGGCGAGAGCGTGCCGTCGCCGTAGATGGAGTTGAGGGCTTCGACCTCGTCTTGCAGCTCTTCTGACATTTTTGTCTTGAGCTGAGTATTGCGACAAGTATGGCTACTTAGTCCCCCTTGTTTGGGCCTTGAGCGCGAAAGCTTCGTGTTTGTTCCGGCCTTGCCGGGAATTTGCGGGGAGGTTAGAATTTTCAGTGAAGCCGTGTGAGTTTGTTTGTTGGTGAGTCGCAAAAGCACAAAATCCTACATGTGCCTACCCGTTGCCCATCACCGCCCATGCAGACATGACGCGACCCCTCGCTTGGGCAGGCGGCCATGATAGAAATGGAAATTTTGGGGCTTCAACCGTTGGGCAGTCTTTTTCTAAATAACTGATGCAAACACATTGTAAAATATCAAGGCTTCGGAACCATCCTCATCATCGCTCATCTCATACACGCAAATTGACTTTTCGAATTTCCGAACCCCAATGTTCGGACATGGATAGTCATGGCTTTGCCTGCTGCCTGCCCATCCACTGATGCTTCTGGCTCCAGCAGATACATATGCAGCAAGCCGAAAACCCAAAGGGGTCGGTAAGGCTGCACGGGAAATGGGATGAGCAATCAGATAGACTATGAAAGAAAAGAAAAATCTTCACGGTAGACTGTTTGCTTGCACTCGGAGCGACAATAATACACCTCTCGTTTGGCAGTTTGGGGGCCATCGCTGAGTGTCCTTTTTGGTCCTGTTTAAGTGACAGTCTCGAAATCTTGATGTTCTCCTTGCCACCACCACCGAATCCCACCACAGAATTTCCCCGCGCCAACCCCAACGCCAACCTCGATGGCCGAGACCCGCGTCGATCTGTCCGTAGCGCAAACAAACATGGGCGATAACACCGCGGAGAGCGGCAATTCCGCTGCTGGGCAGGAATCGTATTCGGCCTTCTTCTATGGTGAGGCGCTACAGACATCGTCTGGTCACACTCCTTGCTTATGCTCAATATCGCGCACAGAGATGTCACAGCGGCCAAGTCCCGGCTCTGCCGCGTTGCTTGGGCCCCGATCCGATCAAGGTATCTGACAAGTCTTTTTGAACTCAGGAACCTTGGTACAAACCCCCTCCAAGCCAGTCAACCACCTTCACTACTAGCGGGCGAGCGGCGGCAAACCTTGCCGTCGCCAACTCCATGCCGCTTTAGGCATCTCCGCTGCGACCGTGCGTCTCTAGCATGTCCAACCACCTTTTTCTAACCCAAACAACCGGATGGGGCGAATAAACAGATGGCGCCCGAGGTCTTCTTCACCGTCTGCTTCCGGCTCAGCAACCCGCCGGCCGAGGTGCGCGACAAGTACCGGTTCCGCCCGGCCGTGCTGCCCGGCTACTGCCGGCACCGGGTGCAGCACGCCGACTACCCGGGCGTGGTCGCCGACGCCGCCACGCCCGGCCGCGAGGTCCGCGGCGCCTTCGTCGACGGCCTGACGGCCGAGAACGTGGCCAAGCTCGACTACTTCGAGGGCAGCGAGTACACGCGCCGCACCGTCCGCGTCCGCCTGCTGGACGTCGACGACGGCAGCGGCGGCGCAGAGGTCGAGACGCAGACTTATGTCTACAGGTTCAAGGATAACCTCGACGATGAGGAGTGGGACTTTGACGAGTTCCGCAGGGACAAGCTTAGGCAGTGGGTGAGGGAGGACTACGTTTTTGCTGGTAAGTCTTGGGCGGCTGATGGTGAGGGCGAGGGTGTGTCTGTGTGTGTGTGGTGGGCATCGCGGCCATTTGTTTCACTACCAGTCCATCCCTCCACCCACCCCTACAAAAACCCCAACCACCCCCGGCCTTTGCGTCTTTTCCCCCAAAAGCAGGGGCTCGTCTCGACTTGTTTGTCCGACCGCCGCCGTTCATGAAAATCCCTCTTGCTGAAAAAGTGCTCATCTTATGATTCCACCCAATTAGACTGCGATCCCGACCACCCGGCCACGGTCGCGACGGAGGACGGAGATGAGGCAAAGCAGAGCTAGGGAGAAGAGTCGGTTTTCACCCCATTCACCAAAAGGAGGCTGGGATGAGGGCGGCGAGGCGCTCGAGCTGTGTGACGGTGCCGTGTGCTACCCATCTCCGACGACACTAGGAGGGGCACCGAGACACTTCCCCCAAATGCAGAGGCTCTGGGCGGCGGCGCCATGTCTTCTGTGGGTGATGAGGGAATAAAAGACAAAAACCGAGTCACCAAATCGGAAAACCTGCCTCGATCCCGGGAGATGTAGCAGAGGAGAGCACGGGCATCATGTGGAAATAGAGGTGGAGTTATCAAAGGGAGGCAACACTGGGAAGATGCGAAGAGGCAAACGAGGTGGCGTCGACCCCAGAAAGCGCCGCTAGAGTCGGATTATGACAATAGACAAATTCGACCTATAGTCGGCAAGGCTCAAGTTCAACCTGACAAGCGGAGAGTGGACACGATGCCGTGATGCCGTGATGGTGGACAGAGGGGTCACAGTGTGCGTGCAAGGCACCAAGCAAGAACCGCCGAGCAGGTCGGCGCTTTGTTGGGAAAGTCCTGGTTGGCCATGGGCGCCATGCGTGAAAAAAAGGACAAGCTTTTTCGTTTCGAAACGCTCTGTCCTTCCCGCGCGCGTTCGCGACGGACTAACAACCGCCGATGGGCCGCCACCCGTTTCCCACCCTGTGGTGTTATTTTTTTTTTGTCTCCGTGGAGGTGCATGAACAAAGACGCAGGAGGCAGTCATATCGACCAGCATCCCGACGACCGCCTCACTTGACTCGAGACACCCAGTGGCCCGGGCGCGCGCGCTTGCGCGCATGGCTAGCATGGATGCCAGTTCTCTATAGGCAGATTTTGACAGCTGACTTGTGGTCGGGGCCAGGTAGGGTTGCGTCTGTGGGGGTGTGCGTGCATGGTTTCTGCCCTTCCCATTGCTCTGGATTTTTTGTCTTTTTGATCCGATCTTCTTGGAAGAACACAGGCAAAAAACTCTCAAGGGTCGCCCCCTCGTGTCGTTCCCCTGTCCCATGCTCTCGGACTGAGGGGGATGGTGGCCCTCACAAGGTGGAGAAGAATTCATGCGAGCTGCTCGCCTCTAGGCTGGGTCCCTCCCTCGCGACGCCACACCACGGAACCCGTCGCTACCGGCTCTCCTTCTTTCTCGTCTGCGGTGTGGCACACGCGTGTTGCGCAGCCGACAGCTTTCGACCCTGTGGCGATCACGGTATGCCCGCGCGGGAGGGAACGGGTGAACAGTTCTGCCCTGCTGCGCCACCCTTTGGAGCGATGACGCTGGTTCGCAGAGAGCTCGGGGACAAAGGCGCAAGAGCGAGTTGTCCAGGCCTGGGTTGGACTCCACCTCGTAATCTATCCGAGTTCATGCTTGATGAACTTGAGCCGTTAGGCCGCCGCTGACCCCATCTGCCCTCGTGTTGAAGGCTGCCTCCCCGTTCCTACCTTCCCCCCGGTCCACGCCACCAACCTCAGCCGAGGCTGGTCTGGATCGGGGCATTTACCGGAAAAATACAGCCGGGAATTGCTGGGAGGATGAAAAGAAGGATTCGAGGAACTTGATTGCTCGCAGTCCCCTGCTCGACAAGCTGGTTCATCACCCCAAGACCACTAGTTTATCAAAACCCAGCCATGGGGAAACACGCCACATAGGCATGGCTGGACGAATGGCTGGAAGGCAGATGCCCAGATGGGATCAACGCCGGCGCCCTGGCGAAACATTTTCCATCGTGTGGCAACGGCGAGGAAACAAGATTGCGGGAGGTGATTGTGTGTTTTGGAAACGTGTTTGTCTGCTGTTGCTTATTTGTCTAGACCATCGGACGAGCAGCACAGACAAGGCGATTGGCCGGGAGCGTTTGGTTCCTGAGGCTTGGTGCTGAGGAGGCTTCCTACTCGCCAGACGACATCAGATCAGCGCAGCAAAAAAAAAACGTGTGCTGGTCTGCAATGTTGGAACCCACTGCAACCACAACCAGCAAAGAAGAAAAAACAACCCCCCTGCGGCTGCAAAAAGAGGCGGGAGAGAAAGCAGGGCAGGTCGAGAGGGGATTGGCTGCAGGGGGCGGCCATGTGAAACTCTAGCCCTGGTTTCAACCGCTGCGCAGGCAAAATTCCCAAGAGCCGCCCATTGGCCCGCCCGATCGCCCATCTGGGTCCCGCGGCTGCTACCCTTTGGCTCCCGCGTGCCGCCCGTGCCTTTTTGGCGCGCACGTCCAGCTGAGTGCTGCGGTGGTGGGGGAAAAAAGAAAAGTGCGTGCGTCGACCTGACAAGAGTCAGAGTGGAGGCCAGCTGGTCGAACCCCGCTACGACTTGAGGCCGTGCGCGAGAAAAAAAAAGTGGGGTTGACGTGGTTGGGCTGAGCGGCAGTTGCTTCGCCTGCTCCCCCCCAGCGTAGACGTGCGTGCGCAGCCTCCATGTGCTGCTAGCTAGCCGGCTGGAGAAATGGCCGCCGTCAAGGTGGCCTGCACGCCTTGCGACTCGATGTGACGGTGACATAGATTTGCAGCCCGGTGCTAGTGGCGACTCAAGGAGACCCAGCGAGGGCAAATGCCAGCAAGCGCCTGGCGAGCTGGCCCGGGCAGTGACGACGACGGCGACGACAACAGCAGCCAGGCGGTCCTTTTGTCAACAAGACAGGACATCCTGGCCTAATCATAGGCGCAACGGAACAAAAGTGCCGGAACCCAACCCCTCTCATGAATCTGGATGCTACCAGCTGGGCAGCAGCACACGCAATGTTAAAACAGAACAAGCATGCGGAGGCGAGGGGTGCGTCGACTGTTTTAGAAGCCATCCACAAAGATCCGCCAACTCGCTGCAAAGCTGCGGCGTCAGCGTTGCAGGCAGGACAGCACAGAAAGGGCACAGCAGACACGGGCAGAATCAGGCACAAACAAAACAACCGGGCATACAGCAGCTAGTCGTGCCGCATTCCTCCGGCCAGGCTGGCAGCGGACTGGTGGCAGATGCGAACAGCCTGATCTGAACGAGAGGATGACGCCGAAAAAAAATCAGACTGCAGTGCGCAGGTAAGCAATCCGATGTGGGTGGTGGATCCGGTGGAGTTGGGATGGTGGGGATCCATTTATTCCAACGTTCGTTTATTTCAGGGGATTACCCCTGAGGGGCTGCATGCCCCCTGTCTCCCTGTCCATCGAGCGGCTGGGGATTGCCGACGCCGACGTTGATGCGATGTGTGAGATGCTGTTCGGTGGGGAAGGAAAATGGAACGAAAAAAAGTCGCCCGGCTGCGAGGAGGCGCGCGCAAATGCCTGCACGCCAGCGCTGTCTGCCTGCCCCAGCGCCATCGGTGGGGCCGACCAGAGAAAGGACGTAGGCAGCCCGACAGAAGGCCACCGGCATGAGGCACGTGCCGGCAGCTGCCTGTTGCCGCCCTGCCCGATTGGGTCTCTTTTTTTTTTCCTTGCCTGGTCGCTCGACGCTCACGTCACTGGCCTTGGCATGGAATACAGCTGGAATCAGGTCGACCTGGCCGACGGCCTTGCATTGCAGGCTCCAGAGGGCTGCGAATTGTTCCTAGGGGCTGGTACCGTCGAATTGAGCCTCTCGTACGCGTATCCAAAACATTGTTGGGGTTGTCTCACTAGGAATGTGTGTGTGGTTGGGGGACTTTTGACCCACGACGCCGTTTACACCCCCAAAATACAGCGCTACGCTAAGGCCGACTACACCGAGAATGCTGTTGCGAAAAGGGAGGCTGAACTTTGAACTGAACCATGATCGTCGCAGAGTGCGCGCCAACGCGGCCTCCGGCACATCCTTTCTTTTTTCCTTCCGCCTTCCATCTTTTCCCGCTTCCCACTTTTCCCTTTGCTTTCGTCGTATTTGCCCCCTATCCCCTGCACCGAGGTGCGGGAGTTTGTTCCTGCATGGCTCGTCGCCCAGGCTCTAGATCTGGCCTAGAATAGGCCCGTAAGTCAGTCACACACTGCACGACGTGCGCCGTATTCCCCTTTTCTCTCGTCCCTTCGTATACCTGCCGTCAGCATGGAGCCGCGAGGGGCCGTGATGGTGTGCCTGTGTGTCCGCATTCTCTAGGCTCGAGAGTTCATCCATCCACGGCCCCTCCTTGGGCAGTTCAGGGGCCGCGGCTCGGTAGCCCCTGCTGACTTGCCATATTGGGCATCCCCGTGGCTCGTCAGGGGTAGAAGAAAAAAAAAAAAAAAAGCGGCGCGACCATCCCTGCCCCCAGCTTCGGAGCGTCCAGCGGCACTGCGCCGTGCGCAAATCCACCGACGGGGATGGGCCCCATGCCATAGAACCCCTGTCGTCCTGTCTTGCCCCTCCCGCTTGGCTTTCTTTTCCACTCTTTTTGGCCCACCAAAGGGGGGGAAGGAAGAGCGCAGAGGAAAAGAATGCTGGGCCCTTTTCTTCCTGTCCCTCTCATCGATATTGTCCCACTTCGAAACACGCCGGCGTGCGTAGGCCCGGCCTATCAGAGGGCGCAGACGCCAGCCCCGGGGACCAGATGACCCATGTCGTCGATCCCTCATGCCTCGTCAGGCCAGGGGCAAGAGGTGATGGCTGAGCTTGACTGGCTGCCGTCGGCACGGCTCCCAGGGGTGACCCCAGAGCTGTCAGTGCCCACTCCCAGTGTGATGGCGCGTGCTCTGCGCTGTGGTTTGCTAGACGCATATCTAGGCGGCTTCCCGAGAAGGTCTGGCTCTCGATGTTCCTTTTGGCCCTCACCTCCACACCGTCCGTTCGACCTTGTGCCTTTCGTGTCCAATCAGTTGTTGGATTACCTTCGTTTGCTCCTGCAGCATCACCTTCTTTTTTTTTCGTCGGGACTCTAGAACCAACTAGGTCTAGCTTACCCCGATTTTATCTTACCCGCCCGATCTTTTTGCGGCCAACCACCAAACAGCAGTCGACTGTGCCTTTCAGCATCTCGACATTTAAGGCTCTGTTTGCCCTCACCTTCTTTGTCGTCCAGGACCTTCTTTCTCCCTACGCTCATCGACTACTGTCCTTCGACAAACCCTTTTTTGTTTCTTTGCCTTCACTCCTTTCAAGGCTAGAACTTGTTCCATTGTCTTCCACTCTTGACTTCCAACAACTCGCCTGGCGCAGTACCTTCATTCCCGAAGTCGAACGGATATAAAGTGCTTGCACTTTTTGTGACTCTCCCTACAGCCCTCCAGACTCAAAGATTTTGCAAAGTCTTACGACAAACCCAGCACAAAAAAACAACAAGGGAATTCTTGCGCTCGTCCGGAACGAAAACTCCAGTTCCCACAAACAAACAACAGAAAGATCTTTGATCAAGATGTACTTCAGCAACAAGAACACGGCGCTCGCCGCCATGCTGGCTTTTGCCACTGCCGGCACCAACGCCCACATGCTCCTTGCCGAGCCCAAGCCCTTCAGCACGCCTGCCCTGCAGAACGGCCCCCTCGACACCGCATCCGGTCGCGCATTCCCCTGCCAGGTCGGCGCCGGCGGCTACTCGGGCGCTGCCACCCAGATGCCCCTCGGCTCGTCGCAGAAGCTCGCCTTCACCGGCCAGGCCACGCACGGCGGCGGCTCGTGCCAGATCTCCATCAGCTACGACACCGCCCCGACCAAGCAGTCGGTCTGGAAGGTGATCCACTCCATCGAGGGCGGCTGCGTGGCCGATGTCGCCGGCAACATGGGCGACTCGGCCTCGGCCGCCAGCCCCTTCACCTTCCAGTTCCCGATCCCGAGCGACATCCCCGCTGGCAAGGCCACCGTCGCCTGGACCTGGCTCAACCGCATCGGCAACCGCGAGTTCTACATGAACTGCGCCCCCGTCGAGCTGACCGGCTCGGGCGGCTCCAAGTCGGCCTACGACGCCCTCCCCGACATGCTCGTCACCAACATCGACGGCAAGAACGCCTGCAACACCGTCGAGGGCTCCGACTACAAGTACCCCAACCCGGGCAAGTCGGTTGATCGCAAGGGCCCGGCCAACAGGCTCATCCAGCTGCAGTGCGCCTCCGGCACCCCCGGCGGCCAGGCCGGCAGCAGCCCCTCGGTCCCATCCACTCCTTCCACGCCCGCGCAGCCTCCCGCGTCGCCGTCCAAGCCCGCCAACGGTGGTGGTAACGGTAACGGTAACGGCAATGGCAACGGAAATGGAAACGGAAACGGCAATGGCAATGGCAATGGCAATGGCAATGGCAATGGCAATGGCAATGGCAGTGGAAACGGCAACGGCAACGGCAACGGCGGCGGCAAGGTTCCCGGCGGTGTCTTCGCTCCTGCTCCCAGCTCGACCACTGCTCCTAGCAGCCCCACTGCTGCTCCCGCCAAGCCTACTTCGCCCAGCACTCCCGCCAAGCCCAGTGGTGCTCCCGCCGCCCCCGCCCCCGGTTCCGGTTCTGGCAGCGGCTCCGGCTCCGGCTCCAGCTCCGGAAAGGCACCTGCCACCGGTGCCGGCGCCCAAGCTGCCGGCTCCGCCTGCAGCCCCGAGGGCCAGTGGAACTGCGTTGGCGGCAGTGCCTACCAGCTCTGCGGCAGCGGCGTCTGGTCGGTCGCCATGCCCCTGGCCGCCGGCACCAGCTGCACCCCCGGCCAGAGCTCGAGCCTCTCCGTTGCCGCCATCGGCAGGAGGGTCGCTGCCTTCCGCGCCTAAAGCGGTCAACCAACATGAGCTGCCGGAACCGGTTTCGGCGCCTTCAATCTTAACTTCTTGAGCACGCACACGCCTTTATGATCATCGCTTTCTTCTTCTTTCTGTTGTACGAGTAACCAACTTCTCTTCTACGATTCCCACTTTTTTGTTCAACTTTTTTCTTCTTTTCCTCTCTTGGACGGGAAAAAAAAACTAGGGTTTGCTTTTGTGAGGCGAGGCATTTAGAGCTTTGCGAGGCGCACGCATTCATTTTTGGTCTTTGTATTTGGGCATGGAACAGTTCGGATGATATCCCTCTTCTTCACGACCTTCGTTCATGTACACAGACATGTACATACACTCTCACTTGGGCTACCTTGGCGGACAGGCCCTCGGGCAGATACCCCTTTGGGTTTCGCAGTCAGACAGTAGTCCCTTTCTAGAGGGATGGGTATATACCCTGAAAACACTTTTTGATAATCGCCTTTCCTATAATGTGACATGACATGACATGTGTGAGCCAATGCTTTCTAACTACAACATTCTATGATTGTCTGGAGTGTCTGAGCCACGTTTACAGGAGTCGTGTAAGCTGCGATCCATATGCGAGATGTGAGTGTTAGTGGAGTCGACACTTTCTACCTTCGCCCACGCCGCAATTATAGCGCTCATTCACTTCGGTGTTGGGGTGCACTCACTTAAGTGCTGTTTGATGTTCGACCATGGGTCACTCTCTATCATTCGACCAAGCGTCCACCTTGTAGTAGTGTGACTCTGCTGGCTGAGGAAGCATCTGTTGCTCGCCCCACCAGCAGCTTCCTCCTCTTGAGGCTGAGCGGTGCAAGCGGGTGGTGAGGGACCGCCAGGTTCTGGACGCAAGACCCGATAAATGCTCCACAGTTTAAGCTCCCACAGGCCAATGGGACCGCAGAAATTGACACGCTAATGCACGGAAAATTGTTACTCCCTGCCTAGCGCCATTTGATTTGGTGACGGCGGCGCCCGCCTACTCCCTCTTCGCGTTTCTCGAACTTTTTTTTTTGACGGCCGTGGCTTGCGTGGGGAGCCTTGGAGTTACCAATTCTGGGTCTTCTGCTCAGCAAGGTGCAAGGCGACATCACCACCACGCTTCTGTAAACTGTGCACCCTCACCCCCGACATTGCCTCTACTCGCTATCCTGATTGACGCGGTCGAGCTTTACGATATTACGAAACGATCCCAACCGTATACCCTTTTAATCCACCCATTCACCCGCGTAAAGCCTGTTGGCACACTCGCTTCGCGTCACTGAGCGGCGTCTAAGTCGCGACTGCGCTGAAGCTGTCCCTTTCGCAAAACTCAACATCCCGACTTGCGCAAACGACCACCACGATCCGCCCACAGTTGCGCAACCGCTTTTGGCTTGCGCTTCCTCGACCGCTCCCCATGTGGCCAATTCATAGGCTTCACTGGCACAGCTCATAGCCATGTCGGGCAGCGTGCTGGAGGAGGCCGTGAAGCGGCTCGTCTCTCCGGAGACGGGTACGTCTCCCACCCAAAGAACCCCTAGCCGTAGCTGCTGGCCTGCGCAGTCTGTTGACGCGCCGTACTGACCCTATCGTTCACAGACCCGAAGCAGAAGCTGGAGTCGGCGACTAACCTTCGCGACACACTGGACCACTACACCTCGGGCCTCGCCATCTACCCCCAGTTCCTCAAGCGGGTTATGCCCGCTTTCATCAACATCTTGAGGGGACCATGCATATTCCAGAGCGCCGCACCAGAGCAGAGGCTACGAAACTGCGTCCTCGAAATCCTGCACCGACTGCCGACCACCCCGAGCCCCGCCGAGCCCTTCGAACCGTATGCCGATGAGGTGGTTGACCTGCTGATGGGCCTCGTACGCACCGACAACGAAGAAAATGCCACTCTGTGCGTCAAGATAATATCCGACATCATGCGCCACCAGCACAAGATCATGGCCGGGAAGGTCCAGCTCTTCCTCTCCCTGATCCAGGAGCTCTTCGAGCAGATGGAGCGCGTTGTTCACGAGCAGCTCGACAACGGCTCGGCCGTCGCTAGCGCCCCGGGCGGCCCGTCCACCCCGTCCAGCTCGCAGACCACCTTCCAGCAGTCCGGCCCTGCATCACCGGTGGCGCCGGCGCCTGATTTCGACCAACAGCAGAATTCGAGACCGCTTCTTCGGGGGATGCAATCGTTCAAGGTGCTGTCCGAGTGCCCCATAATAGTCGTGTCCATCTTTCAGGTGTATCGCAACACGGTGCCCCAGAACGTCAAGGCCTTTGTGCCCCTGATCAAGGGCGTCTTGTGTCTCCAGGCCAAGGCGCAGGAGCAGGCGCACGCCGAGGCGGCCGCCAAGGGCACCATCTTTGCGGGCGTGAGCCCGGGTATCAAGAACCGGGCCGCGTTTGGCGACTTCATCACGGCCCAGGTCAAGACCATGAGCTTCCTGGCGTATCTGCTTCGCCAGTACTCGCAGCAGCTGACCGACTTCCTGCCAACTCTCCCCGACATTGTGGTGCGCCTGCTCAAGGACTGCCCGCGCGAGCGTTCCAGCGCGCGGAAGGAGCTGCTCGTCGCGATCCGCCACATTATAAACTTTAATTTTAGGAAGATCTTCCTGCCCAAGATCGACGAGCTGCTCGAGGAGAGAACCCTGATCGGCGACGGCTTGACCGTGTACGAAACGATGCGTCCTCTCGCGTATAGCATGTTGGCTGATCTCATCCACCACGTGCGCGACAACCTCTCGCCAGCCCAGATCCGCAAGACGGTCGAGGTCTACACCAAGAACCTGCAGGACAACTTCCCCGGCACGAGCTTCCAGACCATGAGCGCGAAGCTGCTGTTGAACATGGCCGAGTGCATCGCCAAGATGCCGAACAAAGTGGACGCTCGCCACTATCTCATCATGATCCTCAACGCCATCGGTGACAAGTTTGCCGCCATGAACAGGCAATATGAGAATGCGGTCAAGCTCTCCGAGGCCTTCCGGAAGCAGGAGGGCACCCAGGAAACTTACCTTGCACACAAGGACCAGCGCCCCGAGTGGGACGAGATCGACATCTTTAATGCAATGCCCATCAAGACGTCTAACCCCCGTGACAGGGGGACGGACCCCGTAGTGGACAACAAGTTTCTGTTCAAGAATCTGATGAACGGCCTTAAAAACACGTTTTATCAGCTCAAGTTCTGCAACCCTGGCCAAGTCATCGACCCCGCCAAGGCGCCGCAGCACTGGCAGGATGTCAGCTACGGCTTCACCGCCGAGGAGGTGCAGGTCATCGTCAAGCTCTTCCGGGAAGGCGCCTATGTATTTAGGTACTACGAAGCTGAGAAGCCCGTCCCTGACGCGAGCTCGACGTCGTCGGTCGAGATGGCGAGTCTCTACATGGTTTCTAGCGGAAAGGAGGAGAAAGACCTGCTGGAGACCTTCGCCACCGTCTTCCACTGCATCGATCCGGCCACATTCCACGAAGTCTTCCAACAGGAGATGCCGCGTCTGTACGAGATGATTTTCGATCACCACGCCCTCCTTCACATCCCGCAGTTTTTCCTCGCCAGCGAAGCCACCTCGCCCAGTTTTTGCGGCATGCTTCTACGCTTCCTGATGGAGCGCATCGAGGACATCGGGTCAGCAGATGTCAAAAAGTCTTCAATTCTCCTGAGGTTGTTCAAGCTCGCTTTCATGGCTGTCACCCTGTTCGCTACCCAGAACGAACCGGTCCTGCTCCCGCACGTCCTGGACATTGTCACCAAGAGCATTGACCTCTCAACCCGCGCCGAGGAGCCCATGAATTACTTCCTCTTGCTGAGGTCTCTCTTTAGGAGCATTGGTGGTGGGAAGTTCGAGCAACTCTATAAGCAGATACTGCCGCTTCTCGAGATGCTCCTGGATGTGCTCAACAATCTCCTCATGGCAGCCCGGAAGCCGATGGAGCGGGATCTCTACGTCGAGCTGTGCTTGACCGTGCCCGCCCGTCTTAGTAACCTGCTTCCTCATCTCAGCTATTTGATGAGACCACTGGTGGTGGCCCTTCGCGCCGGCACGGAACTAGTCGGCCAGGGGCTGCGCACGCTTGAGTTGTGTGTTGACAACTTGACTGCGGATTATCTGGACCCGATAATGGCCCCGGTTATCGATGACCTGATGACGGCCCTGTTCGAGCACCTGAAGCCGCACCCGTACAGCCACTTCCACGCGCATACAACCATGAGGATTCTAGGCAAGCTCGGCGGCCGTAATCGCAAGTTCATGACGGATGCGCTGCCCGTCACCTTCCAGCAGTATGTGGATGATCGGTCAAGCATCGACCTTCGGCTCATAGGATCCAAGAAGGATAGAGCATTCCCGGTGGATATTGGCGTCGAGCTCGCCATCCAGAAGTTGATGGAGGTGCCGAAGCCGGGAAAGGGTCCTCCAACCTCGAAGCAGTCGGACGCGTACTACACCAAGCACGCCCTGCACTTCATCATCGCGCAGGTGAAGCTTAGGATAGGCATTGATCAGCTTGCGGACGATGTCTCACGCCAAATACGCCTCCAGGCCCAGGACCTGCTGGCGAAGAAGGTCGATGGCGATTTCTCGGCCTTCGAGTCCAACGACCGTATGCGTTCGATTCGTAAGAACGAGGAGCAGGGTGATATGCTCAAGAGGCTCCTCAAGGCCCTCTTCTTCGCCCAGTCTCTGCCCGAATATGCCGCCGACATGGACCTGTTCTTGATGAACATCTGCCGGCACTTCACCATCATCGAGGTGGGCAGGGGTCTGCAGGAGCTCAAGCGCGCGTCTAACACTTCCTTTGTCGTCGAGGCTGGAGAAGGACCTCTCTTTCTCGACACGCGGGTCCTCTCCGACGCGATTCTCGACTCGCTGGCTTCGGAGCACCCCGACATCCGCGCCGCCGCTCAGCGCGCAATTTGCGAGGTGTTCAAGACGACCGCCATCATCTTCGGTTCCGAGACCCAAGTCGGCCGCTTGCCTTTCTTCAACCACCTTGCGTCGGCTTTCTGCCACGGGTGTTACGAGGAGGAGTGGTTCACGAAGATGGGTGGCACCCTCGGGATCCACACCCTCTTGACCGAGGTCGACCTTGGTGATGCGTTTGTTTCTGGGAGACAAATGGACTACATCCGCGCTCTCATGCACGTGGTCAAAGACATGCCCCAGGATCTGCCCGAGAAGACGCGCCGGTCCGCACAGGAGACCTTGGACGTTCTCCTGCAGCGGATAACCAAAGACATCAAGAAGGAGGATGTCCTCGCGGCGCCCAGCCAGCCCGGCCAGCCACAGCCGCGTCTTCCCCGCATGGCCCAGGTCTGCCACGCGCTGAATAACGAGCTGTCGCATATGAACCGACACGTTCGTGAGACGGCCAAGCGCCTGCTGGAGATCATCGCAAAAGCCACGGGCGCCGAGGTCTGGGAGCTCATCGAGCCCTACAAGGACCGGCTACTCGCCCCAATCTACAGCAAGCCTCTGCGGGCGCTCCCGTTTGCGGTGCAGATAGGCTACATCGACGCCGTGACGTACTACATGACGCTCAAGAGCGACTTTGTCCAATTCGACGATCATCTGAATAGGCTGCTCATGGAATCTTTGGCACTCGCCGACGCGAGTGACGAGTCTCTTGCCGGCAAGCCCGGCGAGTTTCGCACCCACGAGTACATTGTCAACCTGAGAGTGTCTTGCATCAAGATCCTCAAGACGGCAATGGGGTTTGAGGAGTTCGCCAAGGGCCCCAACGACAGGCATCGTACAAAAATAGTGTCCGTATTTTTCAAGTGCCTGTACCAGGAGCCGAGGCCGACCATTGAGGCCGCCAACGATGCCTTGAAGGGCGTCCTGTCGCCCACCAATAAGCTCCCCAAGGAGCTCCTCCAGTCAGGACTACGACCGGTCTTGGCTAGTCTCCAGAACGCCAAGCAGTTGACGGTCCACGGCCTAGACAACCTGGCAAGACTTCTCAGGCTCCTCACTTCGTATTTCAAGGTAGAAATCGGCTCGCGGCTGCTGGAGCACACCAAGTCTCTCGTCGATCCCGCCTCCCTGCAGCAGATCTCGTTCACATTTTTTGAGCAGCACCCGACAATGAAGGTCATAGCAGCGGTTTTTAACATCTTCCACCTGCTTCCACCGGCCGCCGACGTGTTTCTCGAGCGCGTGATCGACACCGTCCTTGACCTCGAGGAGAAGTTGCGGCGGACCCACTGCAGCCCCTTCCGGGCGCCGCTGTACAAGTATCTTAACCGTTATCCCAACCAGGTCTGGGGCTTGCTGCTTGGCAAGATCGACAACATCAAGTACGGGCGATTCCTGTCGCAGGTGCTGCGGGACGCAGAGAGCCAGCCCATTCGGGACCACGCCAGCAGCCACGTGGACGAGCTGATACGCGCTTGCAGCACCGTTATCAACGACGGGCGCGAGACGAGATACGCCGCCATCATTGAGACCATCAACGTGCTAGACGCGCTCTCAGGCTGGCCGGACTCCAAATCCTGGATGGAGCGGAGGGAGCACCTTACATGGCTCAAACAGAATGGCAAGGATCTCGAGAAGCACCTGCGCAGTAACGATTTGCCCCCCGAGCTGCGCCTTGCCGCCAGCCAGGCCGGCGAGCAGCTCATCGAGATCCTGACCAAGTCCCTGGAGCAAGCGCCCAAAGATCTCGATGCCTTTTTCAGCCTGGTCGACGCCGTTACGAACGACGAGTTCAGGATGACGCAGCCGTTGCTCTCATATATCTACAAGGGCATCATTTGCAACGAGTCGATCGAGTTCTGGAGGACCATTGTCCTGAGGTGCCTGGACTTGTACTCTGGCCGTGCCGCGTCGCAGAAGACAAAGCGTTTCCTGCTGCATTCCATCGTCAACCCCATCGTGGCTATGGATGTGATGCGCCACTGGGATCAGCCGGAGCAAGGGGGCGGCCCGCGCCTCATGGACCGAACCGTGATCGAGTCTATTAACAGCAAGATCTGGAAGGTGAACTTGGGAGACGCTCAAGAGGATCTCTTGCAGCCTGGAATTGACCACACGCGCATGGAGGTGCTGCAGCTGTCGGCCATGCTGGTCAAGTATCACCACGCCAGTCTTCAGGACGCTCGCAAGGATATCATCCGGTTCGGCTGGGCGTACATTCGTCTGGAGGACGTCATCAACAAGCACGCAGCGTACGTGGTCATCTCGTACTTCATTGCCCAGTACGATACACCCGCGAAGATTGTCAGTCAGATATACTTTGCGCTGCTCAAAACGAGCCAGAACGAGGGCCGCGTGCTCGTGACGCAGGCACTTGAGCTGCTGGCCCCCGTCCTCCCAAGGCGCTGTCCAACGCGGCCGGATGACCGCAACGCCGTCTGGGCGGTGGCTCCGCGCCGTATCCTCGCTGAAGAGGGTCAGAATGTGCAGCAGATGACGAGCATCTTCCAGTTTCTCGTCAAGCACCCTAACCTCTTCTACGAAGCCCGCGAGAAGTTTGCGCTCCTCCTGATCCAGTCGCTCCGCAAGGTTGCGGCACCTCCCAACCCGTCCAACGAAAGCAAGAAGCTCGCCCTTAACATGATGTGGCTCATTTGGGAATGGGAGAAGCGCCGGGTCGAGGGTGTAGAGTCCTCGTCGGGAACCAGCCGCGCGTTGTCGGAGTCTCCGACCACCAAGAAGCGGAGGCTCGACACCGAGATGGCTACCTCGTCGCCCCCGACAACCAGGACCGAGAGGGCTGAGTTCCTGATCCCGCCAATGGCGCGTCAAAAGATGGTTCGGTACCTGGTCGAGTTCATTGCTCAGCTGAGCGAGCGGTACCAGCTGCCGTCTGCCAAGCCGAGGGATATGGCATCTACTCCCGGCCCGACTCTGCCTCCGCCTTCGACGGACATGTGCAAGCGGGCAATGCAGCTGCTGTACAACCTGCTGCAGCCGCAGTACTGGGGCGATCTGGACGTCGATCTTTTCCCCAACGTCACCGAGATCATCCTCGCGAGTGATAAGACAAGCAGCATCTTGGCGGCGGATCCCACAGACAAGGAGAAGTTTGACGACAAGTTTCTCACAAACATCATCAACACTCTGCAGGTCGTCCGCATCATCCTCAACACCAAGTCGGACGAATGGGTTCTTAAGAACATGGAAAAGATCCAGAAGGTACTCGAGAAGTGCCTCAAGTCGGAGAACCCCGAGATTCAAGACTGCCTGCACTTGGCCGATCCCAAGTATGACGACGACCGCGACATCCGGCCAACCCTCAAGCGCGTCCTCGATGCCGTCCCCGTACCGTCTGACGATGTGCAGATGGAGGACGCCGATGGCGAGGGCGAGTCAGAGAGCCAGTCCTCGGAGGTGGTGAACTTTCTTTCCGGCATTGCGACCGAGGCCATGGCCGCGTCCAATTATGTGTCGGGCATCAACATCATTTGGTCGCTCGGGAACCGCGACCCGTCTTCGGTCGACCCCCACATCCCAGCGCTCATGAAGTCGCTGCAGGTCAAGCTGGCCCGCGAGCACGTCTCCCACTTCCAGGCCAAGATGAGCATCAGCATGGGCCAGAGACCGACTGACGCTTCGGTCATTGAGATGGCCCCGTACGACCTCGAGATCCAGAGCGGCCTTATTCTCAAGGCGGTCGAGGTCGTGGCCAAGCGCATGGAGATTCTTGGCGACAACAGGCGGCCATTCCTTAGTGTCCTCGCGTCCCTGGTTGACAAGTCCTTGAACATCCCGCTGTGCGACATGATCCTCAAGATGGTGGAGAACTGGGTGTTCCGCTCCGAGGGCACCTGGCCGACGCTCAAGGAGAAGTGTGCTGTACTCCACAAGATGCTGTCGTTTGAGCAGCGCCAGGACCCGACGATGCTCCAGCGCTTCTTGGAGCTGGTCATTCGCATTTACGAAGACCCCAAGATCGCCCACACGGAGTTGACGGTGCGGCTCGAGCATGCGTTCCTCATAGGGACCAGGGCGCAGGACGTAGACATGCGCAACCGGTTCATGGCCATTTTCGACAAGAGTCTGCCCAAGGTCGCGACGGTCCGGCTCGGTTACGTGATCAAGTCGCAGAACTGGGACACGCTGGCCGACTCGTACTGGCTCAGCCAGGCGACGCAGCTCCTACTAGGTGCGGTCGAGCTTAACACGCCGACGCAGCTGCACCAGGAGGACTTCCGCATCGTGCCCGTGTCGCAGCGGTTCAGCAACTACGCCAAGGACCCGAGGGAGCCCGGCACCATGGCGGACGACAAGTACGACAGCCTCATGGCGCGCCATCGCAAGTTCGTCGCGGAGCTCGGCGACGTGAGGGTCCGCGACATCATCGAACCGCTGTCCCAGCTGCAGCACACGGACCCTGCCCTCGCCCACCAGCTCTGGGTCGCCCTGTTCCCCATGTACTGGGCAGCAACCCTCCGCGAGGAGCGGTCAGATCTGGAGCGCGGCATGGTGCAGCTGCTCACGAAAGACTTTCATGCACGGCAGATCGACAAGCGCCCGAACGTGGTGCAGTCCCTCCTGGAAGGCGCGGCAAAGGCTTGGCCCGAGTGTAAGATGCCGCCGCATGTGCTCAAGTACGAAGCTAAGACCTTTGATGCGTGGTACACGGCGCTCTGCCAGCTGGAGAAGGCGGCGGTTCTCCCCGAGGTCGACTCGACCAACGCCAGGGAAAGCAACCTCGATGCCCTCACAGAGCTGTACGCGCTACTGCAAGAGGACGACCTTTTCTACGGCACCTGGCGAAGGCGTTGCCAGTTCCTCGAGACGAACTCGGCTCTCTCGTACGAGCAGAACGGCATGTGGGACAAGGCGCAAAAAGGCTACGAGGCCGCGCAGATCAAGGCGCGCACGGGCGTGATCCCCTTCTCGCAGGCCGAATACATGCTCTGGGAGGACCACTGGGTGCTCTGCGCGCAGAAGCTGCAGCAATGGGACATTCTGCAGGACTTTGCCAAGCACGAGAACTTCCAGGATCTTCTGCTCGAGTGCGCCTGGAGGAACACGGAGATGTGGACTAACCAGGACCACCGCGAGGCTCTTGACAACCTCATCAAGGGCGTCATGGACGCGCCGACGCCGAGAAGGGCCTTCTTCCAGGCCTTCATGTCCCTGCTCAAGCTCCACAGCAAGCAGGAGAGCCTGCCCGAGTTTACGCGTGTCTGCGACGAGGCCATACAGCTATCCATAAGGAAGTGGCACCAACTGCCTCGTCGCTTCACGGCCGCGCACATACCGCTTCTCCAGAACTTCCAGCAGCTGGTCGAGTTGCACGATGCTAGTGTTATCTGCGCAAGCCTAGCTAGCACCTCGCTGCAGAACCTGGACAGCAAGTCTAGTGAGCTTAAGCTGCTCCTCGGTGCGTGGCGCGACAGGCTCCCCAACACGTGGGACGACATCACGACGTGGCAGGACCTTGTCACGTGGAGGCAGCACATCTTTGGCCTAATCAACAGCACGTACATACCGTTGCTACCGCCGCAGAACCAGCAGACTGGCGGGTCGACGTTTGCGTATCGGGGCTACCACGAGACGGCGTGGATCATCAACCGGTTCGCGCACGTGGCGCGCAAGCACAGTCTTCCCGATGTATGTGTGGGTCAACTGAGTCGCATCTATCTGCTGCCGAACATCGAGATCCAGGAGGCATTCCTGAAGCTGCGTGAGCAGGCCAAGTGCCACTTCCAGAACCCAGAAGAGCTCACCAACGGCCTCGAAGTGATCAACAATACCAATCTCAACTACTTCAGCGCGCCGCAAAAAGCAGAATTCTACACGCTCAAGGGCATGTTCCTCGAGAAGCTCAAGCAGAAGGACGAGGCGGACCACGCTTACGGCACGGCATTGTATTTCGATATCACCGCAGCAAAGGCCTGGGCAGAGTGGGGGTACTTCAACGAGCGCAGGTTCAAGGAGGAGCCCACAGACCTGCAGTCGGCCCGCCAGGCGCTTACCTCGTACCTGCAGGCCGCGGGAAGCTACCGCAGCGCCAAGTCGCGGAAGCTGCTTTCTCGCATCCTGTGGCTGCTGAGCTTGGACGACCCCAAGGGCACCATCGCGGCCGGGTTCGACGACTTTAAGGGTGACACGCCTACGTGGTACTGGATCACCTTTATCCCGCAGCTCCTGACGGGTCTGGGCCACAAGGAGGCGGCGAGGGTACACTCCATCTTGCTTAAGATCGCAAAGTCGTACCCGCAAGCGCTTTACTTCCAGCTCCGCACCAACCGTGAGGACATGATAGCCATCAAGAAGAACCAGGAGGTCAAGGAGAGGCTCCAGCGGCAGAAGCTGCAGGCTGCCAACGCGGCGGCTGCGGCGAGCAAGCAGCCCAGTGCGTCGCCGTCGCTGACCAGGGCCGAGACGCCCGCCTCCAATACTGCAAGGGCAGAGTCTGGCACGCCGAGGCCCGGTACGGCCAACGGGGAACAAGTTAAGAGCGAGGCTGCAGAGGGCGAGGGCGCTGCGGCGACGCCTGCACCACAGGTGTCTTCGTCGTCCACGCCTGCACCCCCGAATGCCGCCGCGGCAGCAACAGCGGCATCGGCATCAGCCGCAACGCCCACGGCGGCCAATGGGGCCCCTGCTCCTAGCGATCAGCAGCAAACGGGCGGCGGCCAGAAGCGGCCCCCGTGGGAGCTGACCGAGGAGATCATGAGCGTCCTGAAGACGGCATTTCCGCTACTGGCGCTGTCGATGGAGACGATGGTGGACCAGATCCATAAGAACTTCAAGTGCCCGCCGGACGAAGATGCGTACCGGCTCATCGTGGCGCTCCTGAACGACGGACTGGCCTACGTCAGCCGCATGCCAACGTCGTACGCCAAGGACGTCAAGCTGCCGGCACCGACTGAGACGAACATAACGCGTTTCGCTGAGACGATATTGCCGCCCCACACGCGCCCGACGTTCGAAGCAGAGTTTGTCAAGGTTAAACCCACCATGTACGAGTATATCCAAAAGCTACGAAGGTGGCGCGATAAGTTCGAGGAAAAACTCGACCGGCGGGTTTGCCATGCCAACCTGGAGTCGTTCTCGCCACATCTAAGCGAGTTCAGATACCAGAAGTTCGACGACGTCGAGGTACCCGGGCAGTATCTCCAGCACAAGGACCGGAACCAGGACTTTGTCCGGATTGAGCGGTTCCTCCCCAACGTGGACCTTGTTCGCACGATCGGCGGGTCGCATCGACGGCTCAAAATGCGCGGCCACGACGGCAGTGTTCACTGTTTCGCGATCCAACATCCCGCGGCCAGGCACTGTCGTCGTGAGGAGCGAATCCTACAGCTGTTCCGGCAGCTCAACGTGAGGCTCGGCCGTAAGAAGGAGAGCCGGAAGCGGGATCTGCAGTTTACGCTTCCACTCATGGTGCCGCTGGCGCCGCACATCCGCATAGTACAGGAGGACACGACGTACATGACGCTGCAGGGGATGTACGAGGACCACTGCCGACGCAACGGCATGGCCAAGGACGAGCCCGTCATGTTTACTATGGATAGACTACGGGGTCTTGTGGACACCAAGCCAGGAGTTGTAAGTGGAGGCGACGCCGGAGTGGTGGAGGTTGAGAAGCAGCAGCGGCTAACCAGGCACGGTTTCGAGGGGGTACAGAAGAACTCTGAGCAGCACACAGCGGCTCGGCTGGAGGTGTTCACGGCCATCCGCGACAAGTGGGTGCCGCACACGGTGGCGCTCGAGTACGTGCAGGCGGCGTACCCGGACTTTGCCGAATTCTGGCTGTTCCGGCGGCGCTTCTCGTACCAGCTGGCGGCACTCACGTTCATGACGTACATACTCTACATCGACAAGCGCTACCCGCACAAGATCAACATCGCGCGGGGCTCGGGCAACATCTGGGGCTCGGAGCTCATGTCGTTCATGACGCCGCAGCGGCCCATCTTCCTGAACACGGAGCCGGTGCCGTTCCGGCTCACGCCCAACCTGCAGACGCTCATGGGCCCGCTCGCGACCGAGGGCATCTTCAGCGCGGCCATGATGGCGATCGCGCGGTGCCTGACGGAGCCCGAGCACGAGCTGGAGCACGCGCTGACGCTGTTTGTGCGGGACGAGGTCATGTTCTGGTTCACGAGCAGCCACCGGACGGGGGTGCTGACGGAGCAGCAGCTGCGGGACACGGTGCAGACCAACAGCGACATGATTGTCAAGAAGGCGGTCAGTCTGGCCCAGGCGCCCGTGGGCAACCTGCCGGCGACGCAGACGGTCATCGACCTCATAAGTAAGGCGGTGGCGCCGACGAACCTGGCGCTGTGTGACGCGCTGTGGATGCCGTACCTTTGAGGGGTTTTT